AGCTAGGAAGCTGAAATTCAAAGAAAATTTTCCCTATCCACGTATGACTCAGCGGACTGAAACTCCGCCTTCAGTCGCTGTCACGTAAAAATTTGACGCGAATACTAACTCGGAAGCCATAGAGGTTAGGAAGGCTCAGATTTTTCAAAGCCATCCAATACCTATGTGAAATTCAAAATTTCAAATTCAGTTCTCGTGTGCGTCTAAATTTCGCATAAGGGCACGTGAAATTCGGGTCGAAATTTAGTGGCCAGAAAAGCCAGGAAGCTGAAATTTAAGGAAGATGTCGAGAAATCTCGAGAGAACGCGAGAAAAATTTTTTCTGTGATCAAATATTTGTTGGACTCTATAAAAACGAAGCGCGCAAAAGATCGCGCGCGCTTTGTAATTGGGCCTTGGCCCAAACGCTTTAGGACAGTTTTGGAGAAGAAGAGGTTAACGGGCGGCCGGCCAGGATTGGAACGGGGTTGTGGTGCGGGCAGGTTGCTGTGCGATTTTTGAAGTGCAACCGAGTCCTGAAAGAAAAAGCTAAAGTGTGGCCAAAGGGTTAGAAGATAGCGAATTTGGAAATTGGTATTTCGAGAAAATTGGAACTCCAACCAGCGACGACTGCAAAGCAGGTTTAATTTGTTGAACTGGAAGTGTATTGTTTAATTTTTAAATAAATACTGTTCCCGTTTAACAACAGAAGATGTCACGTGCCCATGTGTAACTTTTACCGTTTGCTTTAACCTTTTTACTTTATCTCAAATTTCCTTTTTCTTTTTGACACTTTGCATGTTATTTTTGCTGCAACCGTCACACTGACGAGGTCCAGTTGCAGCACTGAACAGGAATGTATGCGACTTGATGGACCGGAACATTCCTATTCAGGTTTTTATTCCGATTTATCTTATTTACTTTCCTTTTATTTCCTTCTTATAAGCCCCTACTTTTTACATAAACACATCACCTAAAATTAAAACTACAATAGAAAATTTTAGACCCAGCTTCCACATGTGCTTATCTTTCACGTACAAATGCGTGCACTTCGCTGGGTAATTTCCCAACTCCGGAGTCAGACAACGCAGAAAACGCAAGTTTCAGGAGAATCTTTCATACCTATTTGCGACTGTGGAAATTTTACTCAGCTTCCTTTTATCCCTAGATCATCTCACAAGGGGGAAAATGTAAGTTTCGTTTAGTGGCATATTCCGCTGATTTGTGCACGGCCGAGCAGGACAATAACAAATGCCCGGTGAAGCTTATTCACAAAGCTGAAGATGCTTTAAAAAAGTACAAAAAGTGCGCCTCACCTTCGTCCAGCACTACCTCCTCTGCTCGCTGCTCTTTGTCGGTGCTGCTGTCTGCGCGCTTTTTGCAGCTCTGCGCCAAGGGTTGTCGACAACAGATCTTCATCCCTGCTTCGTTCCTTCTTATGTGTTCTTTCCCACGGGTCATGGATTCGATCACCAGCAAAAAAAGAAAAAAATAATCGCAACAGTTCCAAACAGAACAGAGAGGATGGAATGTTTTTGGTGGGATGTCTTTTTATGACAAATGCCAAGCTATAACACTAATCGCGATTATAATCCTTCCCATCGTTCGAATTCATCTTTGAAAAGCCCCGTAGATTAATGGAAAAAAAGAAGCTAACTCCATATGTATGTGATTTCAATACAGAATTCCCAATTCAAAAAGGCCTTATTTTTAACACAACCAGTTTAATCACCCCTTTACGCGATGAGGAAGCGGGCACTGATCAAAGCCATAGTAGGTAGCTTTCTGCCAAGAAGAGCGCAAGCGGAAACTTTATGAACCAGAATTTACCTGAAAGTGACCCAGTAACTGGATCAGTGTTCCGCTTTCTGTAGCGCTCCCGTCTGCTATCAGCCGAAGTCGGTGAAGTGCGTCTTCTTGGCGAACGCGAAAATGAGCGATACGGACTGGGTGATCGCGAATCTCGTGGTGTCTGTGAATGCGGGGACGGTGAACTACGCGGCACAGAAACACGACGTGGAACATAATACCGATCGGTCGGAGAGCTGAAAGTTAAACCATTTCAGAAATATCGCTGCAAATATGTGTGAGGAGCTTTTGAAAACGCTCAAAGTCCCAAATAAGCATTTCAATCGATATTAAATGCAGCTGTATTAGGTCCGCCGGTCCTTGGCTGCTTACCTCCAGCTGAATGTCTGCTAATATTTGTATGCAGACAAAATCTCCGTACCCCACAATCCAACTGTTATTTCAGACAGAATATATTAAAGCATCCTTGCTCCATTGGTCTCTACTTTTGCATTACACAACAAATACTATCCATATGCCCAGTTTAAGAACATCAGGCAGATGCCACAGCAAGCAACCAATATTTGCGTAATCACAGGAATAGCACTTAAAGTCTCCCTAGCTAACTTAGAATTCCAGTTGACTGAAGTCCCTATATTTGCCTATATACAAGACGAAAATTTAATTCGTGGCCTCCTCTAGGGAAAAAACGAAAATCACATGCATTCTCTACCACTACTCACGCAATTACGCATTTTAGTGCAAGTGAAAAGCAATGCATCAAATAACTTACGTTTTGCGTGCCGAAGCAGCAGGACGGCGACGGGCAGTTGGTCGACCGTTCGGATACAGCACCTGTGGCCCGAGATCTAAATACGACGCCATAAATTATCAAATTGAAATTATCGAAATTAACACCAGGAACTGCACAATTTCAAACTTTTGCTCGTACGGTAACTCTGACCTTTAGGTGGTTGCCGCGGTTCATCTCGTCCACATCCTGAAAGAAACCATTATAGCAAAAAATAAAAAACATACGAATCGGTTAAACATGTACAGTAAAGAAAATAATAGCTACTCTTGGAATTTCGCAAACACCAACACTCAAAGAAAGTTCAAAAAAATCCGCAAAAAATAAAGGGGATAAAAGAGGCAAACAGTTCTGCCTGGAGCATGATAAGCCTGGATCGTTACTTTTTGGAAAAGTGGCGAATGCGCGAAGAAAGCTTCTCGAGCGAACAAAGCGCCTGAATGTTAGTTTTGGTTAAAAAGTCCAAATCTCATGCCGCACGACCAAGGCAAAGTATGATGCGAATTAGCGCAGAGCAACATGAATATTTGTAAGCCTACCTACAGATATTACCGCAAGTCATGAATAATTTTTCAAATTTTCCTGATAAGTGCGATAAAAAAAGCAGGCAAAGAACAGTCGTTCATCGAAAACCTTAAACGTCACATTATTCGAATGAAATGCAAAAAAAAAGCAGAATTTTTCTTCAAAAAAAAGGAAGAAAAAGCAGAAAAGCAAAAGAGACAAATATCAGAAAGCTCATCAAACACCTCCCAACAACAGCAACTACGCGAAAGCTGCCAAAGCAAAAAAAAGCTAGAAAGCGACAAATAATACATTAGTGCAACAAAGGAGGATGTTTTAACTCCAAAAACTTAATTGTAAACGGTAGATCTAACAAAGTCTATCCGGGTGCCATAAAACCTATCTTTAAATGAGGAAGTGAAGCAGGCAAATCGAAATTCAAAACTCATAAGAAAAATCTGTAACAGATTTATTCCTTATAAATAGCAACGCGCACCAGACTAGCCGATGTGACCATGCGTTTTGTGCAATTCCGCCCACCGAACGATTGCCTTTTAATGATTTTCACTACTTTGTACTTTTGTCTATGCAAAAATAGTTCAAACATTGAAAATTAAAAATTTCACGCACCAGCGCATGAAAGCTGAATTCGAAACCTTGACGGGCGAATATCTTTTTGTGATTCCCGAGTTAATAGCTTAACTGCTAAAAAAATCTCACAAGGCCGTAAGTGATACCCGACAGCGCGGGAACGCTGAATTTGAACTTGTAAGGTCGTACGTAAGCACTCTGTGGTTCCCGAGGTAATAATTTACCCGCAAAAAATTTTTACGGAGCCGTAGGTGATACGCAACAGCACAGGAACGCTGAATTTGAGATTGCAAGATCGTAGGTGGCCAGGGGGTCATTGCCCTAAAATTTCAGCTTCGTAGATTTTATAGTTTCCGAGAAAATAATCTACATCGCGAAACTTTTCATGGGGCCGTGAGTGATACTCGAGAGCGCGGGAACGCTGAATTTAAATTTGCAAGATCGTTCGCGGGCAGGGGGTCGCAACCTTAAAATTTCAGCTTCCTAAATTCCGTGGTTCCCGAGATAACAGTTTACCCGTCAAAAATTTTCACGAGGCCGTATCTGTTACGCGCGGGAAGGGGAAAGCTGAATTTAAATTTTATGGGTAGCACGTGGGTGAGGAATATGCCCACAAAATCTCAGTCTTCTAGTTGCCGTGATAATAATTTTACCCGCTCAAATTTTTACGAGGCCCTACGTATTACTCGCGGGTACGGGGAGGCTGAATTTAAACTTGTGGGGTCGCACGTGGTTGGGGAACATTCCCCTAAATTTTCAGCATCTTAGCTTTTGTGGTTCCCGAGTTGAAAGTTGCAGACAAGTTGCTGCGGACACACAAACACACACAGACAACCCCGTGACAAAATGCGCTTTGTACTGCTGTTGTACAGCACAAAACGCATAATAACTGGATGATGAAAGAAAAGTCTCAAAAAAACAAAAAACCTACTTCTCGGGAAATCGAGTCGTCTTCCTTCAAGCATCGTGTCTATAAGAGATGGTATTTTCTGTGGTCTTGCCATCTCATGCTTTCTGTAATCACTACGATGACTGCCGTCCTGCCGACGACGCCCATCACCTAAATACAAAACAGCTCAGTGAAATTTAAGGAAAAAAAAAGCCAATTAATAAATACAAGTGGACCGTACTGAGTTATATAATTTGTAGTTAAATCTGCAACTCAGCAAGCAAATTTATCAAATGAGACAAAAAATAAAAGGAAAGAAACCGCTGAGTACAGAAAATACAATAGCTGAACTATGAAAAAAGAAAATTTTAAAACAGCACTATCTTAAAACTATGTGGATGGATCTCTTTATCCAAATCTAAAAACCGAACTTTTCGTGACCAGATGTTGATGCTCAACACACACTTAATAAACAAGCTCCTGAAGCATCCCATTCATTTTACGGGAAGTATTTGCAGTAAGAACTATGTCGTCTGAGAGCCATGTTTCAGTTGCTCGCCACTGATATCCAGGCCATTTACAATTCAGCTTACAAAACAGCACCTTAAGGCACGCCGTTTCAGTCTTGAATTGCCCTCCGTCACATTCTTTTCGATCGCTATGTGGAATGAAGAAAGTATTGTTTATCGAACAGTCTAAGTCATCTTTAGTAACTGCCACACAGTTTCAACAAGCACGTTAGCATTATAACGCTATGGAATACGCTTCGTAATCAACGAAAACAAAGAAAAAGAGAGAGAGCTGCCACTCCCTTACGTATTCCAGCAACTCGTTTAGAGCGAGAATGTGGTCCATTGTGGTGTAATTACTTCCGAATCCAACGCTTTTAAATGAAGCATAGAATCACATAAAAATAAAAAGAAACTAAATAAAAGCGATAAAATCGGAACACCGGTTATGGAGCAAACACAAGTACATACCATCCGGTCCTAATGAAATATTATGTCTTCTGGATCTCGACGAATCAAGGTCACCATCCATCTGTGAAACAAGACCACACGCGCTCCTAGCAGCGCTGCGTGAGAAGGGTGAACGTGATGCTCGCCGACGTCTGAAACAATATTTTTTCACAAAAAAAAATTTCAGTAAGATTTGTCAAACACAAAGATTCAAAGTGTGGCACTGTACTGCGTGAAAATTCCTTTGGAAATAAAAAGCATACAGCCCACGATGGATGCGTGAGTCATCTGATTCGTCATCGGATGTTCGTCGCTGATCCATATCTTCGCTTGGCGCCAACACCAGTCTTTTTCGATCAAAATCCGGCTCTTCTTCGCGTTTTCTTGACGCCTTTATCATCATCTAAAAGAAAGTATCAACAAAAAAGCCTTTTTTTAAAAAATTTTTAATAAACGAACCACTTAAAAGTTCTTTGAAATGTTTATGATCACGCTCTGACATATAAAGCTAGATGAGGCGCAGATGAGGAAATTCGGGATGAGTGTTAGAAATTTATTACAAAATCAGGAGAATGCTTTCTCAAAGATGCAACCATTTGGTCTGAGAGTACTGTGTTTTCACCATACATCAGCTGCTGTCGCGTTGAAAAACCTGATAAAACCCAAATTTATCTCATAGTAAGTCGATGAGCGCGGAGCTCCTTCCATAGTAGTTTTATTGGTGAATGCAATCTGTCACTAGTTTGGGAAAAAACGATGGCGAATTTAGTCTATCCTGCCTAACCTATCCTTTCCCTGACAATAATCGAACATGGCAATTAAACTGGAAGAAAAAAAAAACCGAAATACTTGTGAAGTCAGCACTAAAAGGGGCAAAGTAGACATGAATGGCAATCAGAGGTATGCAAAATTAGGAAAAATATTAGCCTGCCTGCTCGTTCAGATGAAACTAATCAATGTGGAAAAGCTGATAACGCTAATGCATGTCGATGCCAAATACAGAAAAACGGATGCAGCTAGTAGGTGTAAAGAAACAGTATGAGAAAACCTCCCGAACCAAAAAAAAAAATAACAAGCTATATCATCGCTCACCGAAAAAACATATGTTTTGGGAAAAAATATTTTTTTTATCTTTTAAAATCCTCCACAATACACTGAAAAAAAAAAAAAAGAAACCAGATTTGAGGGACAGAGTAAGAAGCAATTCGAAAAGAATTTGGAATCTTAAGACAAGTGGAAGCATCCAGAACGCTCTGAAGTAAAAAATCTAGAACAATCAAGAACGCTACGGGAATTGAAGACGTGAACTAGAACGAATCTACCTTGAATTGAATTAGCGTTGCTAAGCAAATATGGTATGCGTGGAAGAATTCCCCTACAAATCTATAACGATGGTTTAGAATCACAAAAATGGAACTTTAATCCTGCAGCTCCGTGTAAAATCGGGCAAGCGGGTCTTGATTTCCTCACCGGAGGGCACACAAAGCAAGCCCATTTGTACACAGTTTCACAAAACACCTCCTATAAAAAGCATAAAGAAAAGCGATTACTTCACGGGCCTGGCGCAATCCTTTTTCCCATGCAGTTTCATCGCCCCGTGACGCGGCCTCGTTTTCATTCGATGTTGAGCTCGATGCACAGACCACTCGCGAATTCTGGCTCGCTGAAAAAAATCAAACTGCATCGCACTCTGCAAGTTCATGTTCGGTCTAATGGGAACTTCTGGAATACATGGTCGGCAGTCCCCTTTTGGCGGTGCTGCTCTTCGTACGTCCGTTGTTCTTGATGAATTCAGGCTACTGATTTGCTTGTTCAGCTAGTTACAACAGATTCAGAAGCTATTTAAAATACGTCTGCGCAGTCAAGTGGTCCGAGAAAAACTGCAGGGCGAGGCAATTTTTTTTACTAAGCTAGTTATTTCTAAAACAAATTGAAAAAATTTGTTTTAAGCCAATATGAGTCTTCCCCTGAATATTACATGGCTGTCCTTCACGTGGGATACGAGACCCGTGCACTCAAAATCCCCCATGCTTGAAAACATTCGAACTTTTTGACGCCCCGCACACTTTTTACAGTTGACCGCAGCTGCTCAGGAGAATGAGAAAGCGCGTTCGTGGTGCGTCGAATCAACTTCTTACAGGAGGAAATTAGAAATTTTTGATAACTAGTCGAAGCAACAGAAAATTTTTTCCGGAAATGCAAGCAGAGTATGAAGCACGAAGCGCTTGCACGTCAATTGATTATCGATGATGCAACATCAGTGGCAATCACCGTCAAGGTGATCGTAATATCGCATAGGGTGGAACGACTGCTAATCAAAATCACTGTCTCCTAATTGTGAATGTGTCGCTTAGCTAAACCCGCTACACGTGTCATTGATGTCCCCGGCAACTTTTCTATAGCTGCTGTTGTCGAAGCTCCACCATCCGGCATTCAGATTGCT